TCCAAGGTTGTCGGGACAGCAATGCGCCGTGAAGTCTCCCACACGTGGCTCCTGCTATCCTGATGTTCCACCATCTCCTTACCTCTGTGGTTACAGGTGCTCTCATTTCAGTGGTTCAGGCTGGCTCCTTTCCACACCCATGTTTCAGCCCCTGGGAGGGGAAAGGTAAGGCCAGCACTCCTAGGAGATGGCCCAGAGGCTGCACTTCTCTCTTCTGCTCCTTGGTCTGAATTTGGTCCCGCCAAAAAATTTGGTCCTGCCAAAAAATTTGGTCCTGCTCATTGGTGGGAAACATAGTCTGGAACTGGATCGACATGCACTTAGCTAAAACTCGGGGTGTCCTATTCTAAAAGGAACCAGGAGAGAATGTATAGTTAGGTGTCACAATGTGGAAGATAAAGATGAGCCCACATTTAAAGGCACTTGGTGTCCCTAAAACAGAGAACCCAGCAAATGAAAGAGAAGATGTATCAAATGATAGGATGTAAGAAAAATTTCCAGAAGTGAAGAAAGAACTAAATCTGTAGGTGAAAAATTAAAAAAAAAAAAATGAATCCCAGGAAAATTCAATTTAGAATATTTAACATCAACACGTTTTCTATGTTAAATACCTGAATTTCAAAGACAAAGAATGCTTCAAACATTCAAGCAGAAAGAAAAATCACCTGCAAGGGGTGAAAAACGAGGCTGGCATCAGATTTCATAATACTCATTGTAGAAGATAAGGGTGGGTGTCTATGAAGTTCTGAGAAAAGAAAGGATGACCCCAGATGTAATTCAAGCACTAGGGCCTGTAGAAGTAAAATGCCCACGAACACTTGGAAGGAACTGATTGGTGACCAAAGCAAGGCAGTTGCGGAATCAGTGAAAATAAAGAAGTCAAGCACAGAGAGAAACAGGACAAAAGGACTGTTGGTGAGCATTGGATCCATTTCCAGGTAGAGCCAATACTAAACAGTCATAGCACTTATGGTTTCCCAACAATGTGAATATTATAAATCTGGACAGTGTAAAGCTATTAATATAATAAGATGGGAAGGCCAGGAGAAAAGATGGGAGTAGCAATAGAGCTCCAGTGCTCTCACCTTTTGAAGCTGGGGTGTGTTACCTAAAATGAAACCACGTGATAAACAAAATCTGAATGTTTGTCATACTCACCTGTGTGTAATGGAGGACCAGGGGCCTGTGAACTACTGCCTGAGGGCTGGCCACCTGCTTTTGCAAGTGAAGTTTTGTCGGGACACAGCTCCACACTTTTGCTTCACATGCTTGTGCTACTTTCCAGCCATCACAACAGACCTGAACAGCCTAAAATACTGACTGTCTGGCCCTTAAAGAAAATATTGGCCAACTCTCGTAGAGGAAATTTTTTTAACATACAGGAGTCTTGTGGTAAATAAATATTTATTTGAGGTTTAATAATTTGTTGGGTTTAATTTGGCCATTTTCCCTCCTATTAAATTCATGTCAAATTAAGTTTAATAATGTAATATAAATCCTATTTTTTTATAAAACAATATATCAATCATTCCAGAGATATCAGGGGTAATGGTCACTTACTGCTACTGGGCATGGGTTCTTTTATCTTTGTGTTTTCTGCATTATTTGGAATCTTCATAATGAACATATATAATTATTTCCAGAATAATAAAGTAAAATGGTTTTTCTATTTGAAAACACTGGAAGCAAATACACTGAGATATTAACAATGATTAATTCTGGCTGACAGGAAGGTAATTGTTGTTCTCTTCTTTAAGATTTTCTGTGTTGTTTAAATATTGAAAAATGTTAAGCTATTGTAGAAGGTTTAGGCATGAAGCGATGGAGTTCTGAATTATAGCTTTAGAAACAGTAATAAAGTACCAGATATAAGAGACAACATTCTATTGAAAATATGATTCTTTTCTAATGTGATATTCCAATTATACCAACTCCAAAGCAACTCCAGCATAAAATATAAAGCAGACATAAAGGAGCAGCCGAAGGAGATGATACCCGACCTGTGTTAGGCAATCATCACATTCATAACGACGGTGTCTTTAATTTTCACTAATCTCAGGCTACCTCGCCAGTCTCGTCCCCCACCTACCCTCCCATACACACAGCACACTCCAGCAACACAGGCTCCTCGCCTTCAATGAGATCTCCGTGTATTTGTACACTACTTCACTTTGTCTTTGTCATTCTGTCTACCTGTCATTGCCCTCTCTCCTCCACGTGACACCTCAATGCTTCTTTTAAGGTCAATTTAAATATCACTTGCTGCAGTAGATCTCAGCCTTGGCTACATATCAGAACTGCCTGGGAGCTTTATAAACATACCAAGGTCCAGGCTCCAGCCCAGCTATTCAGATTTAATGGCCCAGGGTTAGGGCCCAGGCAGCAGTATTTTCCAACAGCTCCCTGAGTGATTCTAACGTACAGCCAGGGCTGAGAGTCACTGCAAAGCCTTATGCCAGCAGGCAGAGTTAATTACTCCCTCTTCCGCACTCCCGCAGCCCTGAGCTCTTCCATTGCTCATGAAATTTAATGCTTATTGTATTAAAGTTAGTGTGATATAGTAAGTGCTCAGTAAAGGCTGAAGGTTGTTACATTCCTCCTCTCAGAAATGGTTATCTTGACCATGGGAACTGGAGAGAGCAGAGCAGGCCCAGGTTTCACATCCAGTGACACTGTCTGCAGGCTTTATTTCTATAAACTTGCCAGGATGTCACCTCCCCTTCATGCCACTAAACACACACACACACACACACACACACACACACACACCCTCACTCCCTTTTCTGCATAGTCCTTGGGTTTGGCTCTTACACTGCTGAGACTGATTCAGTTTGAAGAGTTAAAGAAATCCGCACTGTGAATGTGCTGGCTGCCGGGCAGAGTCCGGACATCACCTGCCTGCCCTTGTGTCACACTTTCCGTGGTGTTTTATGTCGGATCCTGCCACTTTAGCTTTCAGGAGCAGGTTGTCAGGGGTGCTTTGTCAAAGGCTTTTGGAAAATCCAGATAAATTGTGCTGTGTGCCCTGAAACTGTCAAACCTATATTTTACATCTTCCCAGTGCTTGACAATTTTATTTAAGTTGAATCTTTCTTTCTTCCTCCAATTTACCTTTGCTTCCCTGACCCTCCTATCAATCAGAGAACTAGAGACCTGCCATTTTATTTTATTTTACTTTATTTTACTTATTGTTGTTCAGTTCCAGTTGCCCCCACTTTCCCCTCTGTTGCTTTCCCTGCCCTGCCCATCCCCCTCTCCCAGACAACGCCCTCCCCATTGTCCTTGTCCATGGGTCCTTTGTACAAGTCCCCCTTCCTTCCCCTGTTACACCCCTCCCCGCTCCCCTCTGGTCCCTGTCAGTTTGTTCTTGTCTCTGCTTTCCATGTCTCTGGTTCTTTTTGCTCATTTGTTTGTTTTGTTGATTGAGTTCCACTTGAGACCTGCCATTTTTGATGCTGACTATTGGGTCAGCTCTGCGTGTGTCACGTCTGGGGTGCCGGCACCGGGCGATTTTCTCAGCCTCCCTGGTTAGGAGACTTTAGGAGGTGTGGTGTGAAGAGAAGAGCTGATGAGGAGGAGGAGACCAAATGGGTCAGCAGGACCCGAGAACCATGCTAACACCATGTGAACACGAGCTCCTCACTCTCCTCAAGACGATGCTCATAGCACTGCCCTTTCCTCCCCAAACTCGCCTGGGAGGAAATGGGTTGCACTGACAGTCTTCGCTTTCCTGTAAAAAAATCCTCTTCATGGTCATTTCAAACTGTCCTCACCAAACATCACAAAAGTGTTCGCTGTTGGTAGCTCTTGACAGTTTCCCTGCAGTGCCAAGTCCTGGCAGCAGGGCCCTAACGACTTCGTCCACACAGGCGTTGCTCAGCCAACAGCTACTTCTTTTGTAAAGTCATTTTCTCCCCCGGTTCTTGATGAAAGTTCCCCTTTCTTTTCCTTAAGGTCACCATGACCTTGACAAGCAATAAGGTGCAGCACATTCGAGTCCAATGGCAAATTTCACTAATGTAAAATCAGATTAACTTTAAAATTGAGTGATGTTAAGTGTGTGTACCTGGTGTAAATACAGCATATTTTAAAGTATATATGTACATATTTAATATATGTGTGACCTGAAACAAACCTACTAACCTTTCTGTCTTGGTTCTTTACTGGTTAAATAGCAAACTGTTACCTAGTTCCCTCAGAAGTTATGCAAATTAATTAACGTTTGGAAAATTACTTGAAAATTTAAATCAGTCTAGAAATATCAAACAGCTGCATCTTTCCTGCTGAGGGGGCCCAGGTAGTTTATAGCCTCCTATGGTAAAGGTAAAACTATTGTTCTTGGGCTATAAATTAAATGTGATTTATCTGTAATACATATAATTTTTAAAATGTAGACACTATTTAATAGGATCAATTCATATTTCATAACTATAATAAAAGCATGTTATAACTTTAGGAAAAGCAATCACCTATTGTAAGTGATCTCAGGTCTTTGACCACATTCCTGGGAGCTACAAGCATCTACTCGGAGTTCATCTTTAACCTCTGAATGTTGACTGATATATTTATTTTTAAATTCTCCCAGGGTTTTTTTAATCCTCAAAACTTTAATATGTATTTCCTAGGAAATTTGCTCATACCAAATTTTGCTTTATTCAAAATTTCTTCTGCCAAGATTTAGCACTTTTATATTCTAGTCATTAAAATTGAACAAAATCTTAATGTTCCTTTATTAACTACTATACTGACTTTGCATAGTAGAAAACACAACATGTTAATTGGATTTAATTAACTATTTTAAATTACACAAACTCCTGACAGCAGACAATAGCACAGGGTACTCATGAGCAATAAAATCGGAGCCAATATTGCTACTTTATTAAAACTTAATGAAACTATTCATAATCTTATTTATCGTTTATAAGAAGAAAACTGTTTATTTTGAAAGCAAAAACGTCTGCTGAAAACGTTTCAGCTAGTTTGAATTTTTGACCATCTAGGTGAAGGTTCAGAAGTTAATACAAGGGTCCACCGTCAGCAGCCTCACAGTTCTGCCGGCTTCTCACCGCACGGATCCCTATTTCAGCCCCATCCCAGTCTTACAAGAGGATGCCAGAAGAGGTCGGTGATTCAATATCCATTCTACGTGTCCAGGCACCTACAGACAGGAGCGTGGAGGTGGGGTTGCGAGCCTGAGTTTGAATTTCAGCTCAGCAACTGATTCTCCCAGGGGACCTCAGATAAGTCCCGTCCTCACTCTGGACGGAGAAGGTTGAACAGACGAGATCACTCAAGTCCCTTCCACTTCTAAAGCCCATTATTCTATAGACTCAATATTGATTTAAGTGGTGGTGCTATTACATATTAGAAGTATTGTGTTTAACTGATATTACTAGAAATGTTTAAGCTTCTGAGCAGATGTGGTTCCTGATGCTATTTTGGTAGCTTTTAAGGATCTTACTTCAATATCTATTATGCAGAAATATGACACTAGAATTAATGTAATTAGTATTTAAACTATGCATGTCTTAGTTCGAATTCCAGTCATGGCGGCACCAGTAGATTCCCAGCTTTTAAGCAAAGATTAAACAAAGGTTCTTTATTTCAGTGTCCCCAGTGCCTAGAACCATATCTAGCCTTTTGCACATACTAAATGTTGGTCAAATGAATAAGCGAATTAAAGAGTGAATGAATGAACAACTAAGGATGAAATGTGCAAAGTAATCTCTTAACTTTTCCCTGCTACTTAATATAATTGGCTGAAGTGTAGAGTGCCTAAGTGGGTCCCTTTTCACATCTCAAATATAACCAAGTGAGGTGGTCTTTAGTAATCTCTATCTCATTTTCTATTTGTTGTCTGGAGGTGTCGTAGAGTTAAAGTTGGTTCGCAAGGGTTCTTCTGGCACCTAGAGCTTCAAAGTCCTGTAGCCCCTATAGCCCGTCTGCTGCCCGGTGGTGGATGGATAGCAAAGCTCAAGAGAACCTAGAGTCATAAGTGACTCAACTTGCCTTGCTTCCCACAAGTGTAGCTATTATTTTCCTAGTTATGAACCATCATTGTTCGGAAATCTTTGTGACACATGCTTTTAGTTAGTTTACATAACCTTGGGTTGGCAAAAAAAGTCCATTTAGTTTTTCTGTAAAATGAAGGGCACATTTTTCATTTCACCAGTAACTTTATTGATTTGGACATTTTTAGTATGCCAGCTATCTCTCATGTGGTAGAACAGTCATTGTTCTCAATTAATATCTCAATTTGATTGCCATCCACTTCAACTGTTCTACCCAATTATGGAGCATCATTCAGTAAGAAATCTCCAGCATGAAACTCAGTAAAACACTTTGACACATTCTATCAGTCATGGCACCCTCTCCATATACTGAACAAATCTTTTTTTGCATTTCAGTTGCATTTTCCCCTTTCTTAAAATAATAAAGCATAATATGCTGAAAATGTTGCATATTTCCTTCCATCTTCAATATTAAAATGGGTATACAAAAATTCACCAATTTTGATGTTTCTTTAAATGCATGTTGCTATGACAGCTGTCCTAGTACAATCTAACAAAATTGTTTCAAATGAAGTTAAAGACAGCTAAGCACTACTAGAGCCATCTTACGGAAAAATACAAACAAACTTTTTGGGCAACCCAGTACTTACTCCCTGGGAATACTGAATAACAGCAGCAGAATTTCTATTTCTTGCTTTATTACCATTTTATATTCTTCCAGATCAGTTAGGATGAATGCAGTAGAGAAAAAATGAATCAATTAATGCTTGCTTTAGCAAAAGGCACAATAAAAAATGCTACAAAACAAAGGTCAATCTAGAAACATGGTAGCTTGGTCTAGAAAAAAATCACATTTTGATCTCTCAATCATCTACCAGAGAACACATGCCTCACCGTGTGTTCCCTGAATACTTGCTACATGTCTGGTTTGTTCAAGGTAATCTGAGCATCAGGAAAGCACAAGTCACAGAAATAGAGACAGTGTCCAGAGTTTTTACATGTTCCTGATGCGTTTAAATGTTACTTAAGCCTCATTTTAGGTCTATACAGTCCAGCAGGAGGTGAAAGGTTAACACCTCCTCAGAAGAAGGAATCATTTTGAAAAATGCAGGGTAAACTTCCCTACTTTTTCTTTTTTTAATATATTGACATTATTTTTTTTTAATTTAATTGTGGTTCAAGTATAGTTTTCTGTCTTTTACTTCCACCCCAGCCAACCTTCCGGGCCTCCCTGTCTCCTTCCCATTTCTCTACTTTTTCTTGGGTTGCCTTGCTAAATCCAAAAAAAGAAACTTTTTTTTTTAATGATAAAAAATATATAGGTCTCACAGTACACAACCCAGACTTTCAATTCAGGCACTTTGTGACCTCAGGCAAGTGGCTCTCTGATGTCGAATAAACTCTAAGCTCTGTAAGCAAGGCATACCCCATCTGCCCCTCCCCCACTCCCATCTCACTGCTTTCTCCACACTCCAGACACACCAGCCTTCTCTCTGTTCCTTGTCAGGTCAAACACATTTTCATATCAGGCCCTCACCAGTACCTTTACCTCTGCCTATAAAAGTCACTTCCTCAAGCATCGGTGTTTTTCCTTCATTGATTATCAATTTGTAATTATATTTGGTGGATTTCTTTAAGGTCTTCTTTGCTACTAGAGGCTCTATGAGGGCTCTCTGGTTTACCCTGCATCCTTAACCCTCAGAGTATAGTTCCTGATACATATTAGGCACTTAACAAATATTGGTTGAATGAATGACAGAATGAATGAATTTCCAATTCCTAATCTATTTAACGGGAAAGTAAGAGTGTTAGTGAAAATTTAATGAGACAATGGTACTAAAGGAGAATTTTCAAGAAGATATAAAATCATGACTCTCGTACAAATATAAAATGAACACTCATCAAGATTGTTTTTAACTCATCAATTGAAAAAGGGCATCTTTAAGATGTTACACTGCTTTAAAGGAGAATCCAAAGAACACACATCTATAGATCTGGAATGTTAAAATAAATTCACAAATGGATGCAAAACTGGATTTTCCCTGGGAGAGTGTCCCTACACCAGATAGAATGTACTTTTATGTCTATAGATATAACTACTTGCATCATTATCAGGGTTTGTTTTTTGAGTTAACCCCAGTCTCTGCAGGGTTATAAAATGGTCTGTTCAGAGGGTAGGTTCAGATGACGCCTGGCAGCTCCAGCATTCCATTCCAAAGGCATCTAGTCATCTCTTTTGATTATTCCAAAACTTAAAAAAAAATAGTATTCTTACAGTCTTCTCCCATTATAATCAAAATGATCTCAAAAAGTTTTTTCACAAGCTAAGGTTAGTCTCATTAGGTTTGGCCTGGTTATTTACACAGAGATAGCAGAAATGTTAATTACCACGTAGACTGTTTTTAAATTGCTCTGCTAGAAGTTGTCATAAGGAATCTCAGATAGAACTTTTCAAAACCTCTATTATTTACTATCCAAAGGCTAGAGATCAAGCCCAAGAAACTCTGCCCACTGAATTTCAATGGAAGGATCTATAAATTTGGGTAAATTCCTTTTTTCTGGAGTGACTTCAAATACCCTAAGATTCTTGGGCCTACAAGAAAGTGACCTTTCTTACCTGTAAATCCGTACCTGGCCAGTTTTTCTGGGAGGTCTTTATAAGCATTGGCATCACAAAGTCACCTCTAGTTGACCTGATTGATAAGCATCATTCTTAAATACTAAATTTCAATTTGTTCAATTATATTGATAATAAAAGGAGAACAGATTCTTACTGACACTGTGCAAACAGCTATATTGCCATTAAAAGTAAGGAAACCCAATGAGAGTTTCTGAATGTGTGAAGTGAAGGGGGCACATTTAAAGTATAGAAGTTTGATTTCCTTATTTTCTGGGAATTTTAGTAATATTCATTTTATATAAACATTATTTCTCTATATAATGCAATCAGAACAGAGTTCCTTTAATTTAAGAGATTTTGTAATCTAATTTATTAATACCATTTGGAGACAGGGAAGCATTCTACATTCACATTGAGAAATAAAGGCCTTTCTGAATTATTGATATATAGACATATAGATATAGAAAAAGCTTATCATTTCCATTCTACAATTTCAGCCACAGATGAAAAATTAACATGTAAAAACAAAAACTTAATGGTCCAGATTATGATTTATTCTACTTTCTTGTGGGCATGAAATTCCTAATTGATTTGAGCTCAAAATACACAAATAGACAAACAACAGGCTATCAAACTACATTCTCCATTGTTTCTTACTCAACAAGGGGTAGATCTCTATAAGACATTAATTTATTTACAGATATCACCAAACCACAGTCATTTTGGCTAACAACAGGAACCGCTTAACAGCCATAAGGGAACCAAAATGAAAGACAAAACACAAAATTAATAGGAGTAATATTTAAATTAGGAAAACAGAATCAACAAATTTCTACTTCCACTTTGAATTCACCTGTGGAAACCAAGAAAAATATGTGCCTGGACTTGGTTCTGCATGGGCTGCACCATTTCTGGCAATTTCAGATGAGTCTTTTGTCTATGTTGATAGGATCTTCAAAACTGTTAAAGCATATTTTTTAAAGTAAAACCATGACTCTCATACAAATATAAAATGAGATCAATGATGTTATTTAACTCATTAATTGAGGAAACCAGTAAGATGTTACAGCTGATTCAAAGAATAATCCAAACAATAGACACATTTACAAAGCAAGAATACTGAAAGAAATTTGCAAATAGATGTCAAACTGGCTTTTTGAGGCTGGGGGAAGAATTGTCCCTTTACGTGAGAAAATTTATTGGCATGTGTATAAACAAGAATTATGTGCATTGCTTTCAGTTTCCTATTAATTAACCTTAATCTCTATAAAATTACAAAATAGATTAGCCAAAACCAAAGGTCAGATCATCTCTAGAGATTCCAGAATTTTAATGAAAAGCTATCTAGTAGTCTCTCCTGCTTATTCCATAGTCTTAACATTTTCTTTCCAATGGTAAATGCACACATGTGTGTTTGTCTAAAAATTAAGTGAATTGCTTCAACCTATGTACTAAAGCAAGGGTTAAAATCATGCTTATATTCTTGGGATTTTCAGAG